CCCAACCCCGCCCCCCCCCGGTCACTATTCAGTCTGACTCCTGCTCTCTGGCTCCCTGCTAAATATCTAATCTCCTTTTGTTCACTGTGTCTCTGTGAGGCTTTGAGGCCCCCTGCACACCACAGCACCTCCTGTCAGTCAACGCGTGTCCAGCATTCTCAGCACAAGGAAGGCCAACACACGGGGCAGCGTCGGAAATGGAGCACTCACAAACACTCTGAGGTGCTCAGCGTCGGAAACGGAGCGCTCAGAAACACACGGAGGTGCTCAGCGTCGGAAACGGAGCGCTCACAAACACTGGGAGGTGCTCAGCGTCGGAAACGGAGCGCTCACAAACACCCGGAGGTGCTCAGCGTCGGAAACGGAGCGCTCACAAACACTCGGAGGTGCTCAGCGTCGGAAACGGAGCGCTCACAAACACTCGGAGGTGCTCAGCGTCGGAAACGGAGCGCTCACAAACACTAGGAGGTGCTCAGAGGCGTAACAGATCAGACGTGACAGAGTTAAGAAACAGAAAGTGGGCTGTAGGTGACCTCACGTGCCTAGGTTCGAGTTGAGGGCAGGACCCGATGTCCAGAAGTCTGATGGATTGGTTCTGGGCCGTGTTACAGCACATCATTCTGAGCTCTGGATAACGACAGAGAGCTGCGGCTCCATCCTGGTGATGAAGGGCCTGGCGCGGCGGTCGCTTTGACCGCAGGACAACCGTGAGTGCCTCACATCTCCCACAGTCAGATATCGAGCGGCCCCACCGAGAGAAGCCGCCGGTGGTTTCGAGGTACATGCCGGAAATGTCAACACCGTCGATTGCCACCGGGGGGCATGTGGCTGTGGAGGAAATTGATCGGACGAAAGGCAGAGAGAGCATTGCTGGCATACCACGGCCACCCGGGACATGGAAATATGCACTGATGTCGGCTGACTCCAGGCCGGAAACGTGCGTGTCGTGCGGCATGATGCCCGTTTCCCGACTGGAAACCAAACGCGAGATGACAGGACAGGGGCGAAATGATCTAATTTTTAGGGTGAAACGATGCGGAGTCGTTCCTGTTTAAGCACATGCCGATACTTCATTGGCATATCGTGTAGGAGGCACATCAGCAGGGTGGGGGCACCCGGGCAGATTCAGGGGCCCCTGAATACATTTACTGCGTGGGGGCGCAAGGCCATATTTTACCAGGGGGCCCAAAATTCTAGGTTGTATGTTATTAGCACTGTTTTGTAGTGTTTGGACTATCTGTGCTACTTTGCACTGTCTCTATTGTCTAGTCTTCTGTGACTGAGTGTGGTTGTGTAACTAGCATCCCAATGTGCCTGTTACACCGGGCCGATGAATCCAGGGGCGCCGTAAAGGGGGGAGGAAGCTGACGAGGGGGGGACAAAAACATTTGGAGAATTTGGATTGGTCTGCGTTGGGGACCCAAAACTATATGCTTTCATGGGGCCCAAAATCTCTAGCAGTGCCCTGCTTGTCCTATGCATGGTGGTGGGAGTTCGGAGGCAGGCAGTAATGCAGGGAGGGGTGCCAAGTCATCGCAGGAACTGCATGCACATGTAAATGGGGCTGTTTGTAGCAGGAGCAGACCAAAGAGCTTAGAATCAGCTCTGTCTCACTTTAATGTAACTCTGAGAGGTATTTAGCTGTCTGGAACATTTTAACTGGTAATGGCTTTGAACTGTCCTCTGGGTTTTAAGCTGTCATCTCTGGGGAATATGTGATTTTAGGGTGGGGGGGGTGGGGGAGTGAATGACACCAGATTAGGTTGTAACTCGGTGACAAGCCAGTGCCCCGTAGTTTCAGAGATCCATGAAAGGAGAGAGTACCAGGCTGTGGATGGGGGGGCGGAGACTCACTGGGGACACGGTTGATGGCTTTGAGCGGCCGGAGCACCCGTACAGTCCTGATGGCAGACAGGTTGATGTTCTGAAGGTCCAGTGAATACTCCACCATCCTGCCGAGGAGAGAGAGGAGGTGAGAGCTGAAGCACAGTTATCCGAGAGAGACATACAGAGACACATGGAGAGAAAACACACACAATCTACAGAAAACACACCCAATCTACAGAAAACACATCCAATCTACAGAAAATAAACCCAATCTACAGAAAACACACCCAATCTACAGAAAACACACCCAATCTACAAAAAATAAACCCAATCTACAGAAAACAGACTCAATCTACAGAAAACACATGCATCATGAAGCATGATCTGCAGAGAGCTGCTGCTCTGATTCAGGCACGTGGTGCATCATCACACATAGACAGAAAGGATCTCATACGCATGATCTCAGCTAGAGCATAGCGAATCCTTTAGTATCCATGCAAAATCTCATCTATCTCCTCAAACCGCCGTAGAAACCGAGAAACAGGAGTCAGGTGCATTAAAAATGCAACGGCATGTTCAGTGTGAGGCTCCCAGTTCACAAGACATGGTGGCCGAGGTCTGAGTCCGTCATGTGCTCCTTAAGGCGTGTCACCCAGAGCCCTCAGCCTTGCCCTTCCTCCTCTGCACTCTGGTGGTGACGCACTGACCCAGCGACGTACCCCATTCCAGTGAAATTGAATAAAATCTGGAGAAATCTCAATCGCCCTGAAACGTTTCTGCTCCTACATCAGTGTGGAAGGCGCCCCTAGTCCGGCAGCGGAAAAACCGGTCAAGTTAAACTGATAACTCAGCCTGTGACTGAATTAAGATGTATGCTGCTGTCTGTTGCTAGGGCCCAATTACAGGTTGCTTGACTGAATTTTGACTTACCGTCAACCTCCCTGAAAGTGAGAAACACACACAGAAACACACACACACACACAGGAATGATCCGCAGAGCCCCAGTGTGAGGGGTGAGCCGGCGGGATGGCGATTTCCTCTTAAAGCCGCCAGCCAGCTCTGATTCTCTGCCCGCAGATCTCTGCGTAAAACACTCCGCCAGCTCATCTCCTCAGGAGAAGCTTCCAGCACTGCTCCACACACCCTCCGCCTCCTCCTTCTGCGGCCATTTCTCGGCAGACACGTAAGGCGGCGTAGAAATTACCGCCGCGGATGCTGCATGACGACGGTGATGCTCGCGTATGCGCATGACAGGAGCTGCACATGGTCCCGCTCAGGAAGGCGGGTTCAGGCTGTGCACTTCTATTCAGACTAATGTAAGGTCGCACCACAAATTAATCAATGTTACTGCACCTTTTAAACGATTCCGTGAGGTGGCACTATAGCTCAGCACCTGTAGAGTAGGGGGTTGAATCCCACCTCTATTCTGCACTTGTGTGTGAGGAGTTTGTGTGTTCTTCCTGTGTAATGCGAGTGTCTGTAGTCAGGCTAACTGGCTGTTGTCTGTAATTTTCTTAGTATGGACTGGCATACCGTCCAGGGCGTCCCCTGCCCTGTACCGTGGTATGGACTGGCATACCGTCCAGGGCGTCCCCTGCCCTGTACCGTGGTATGGACTGGCATACCGTCCAGGGCGTCCCCTGCCTTGTTCCCTTACTGCCTGGGATGGACTCCAGACCTCCCACAACCCCCCTGGATAGGTACTGGGAAGATAGATGTATTATTTGTGAGGTAAGTTCACTTTTTAATTTGCAAAAAGCCTTAGTTTCAAAGCCAATAATTTCCTCACAAAACTTTAATTTGCCACGGCTGTTTTTTCGTGTGTGTTGATTCAGCTCTCCTGTTTCCTCATTGCGATGCTGTATTCAGATTTACAAGATCATCTGAAAAACACACACAGCACTAGCAGGCTGTCCAGCTCCTTAAATGTGTCACAAACCCGTCGGTGACAGCTGCGTCCCCTACAAGTGGCAGACGGCCGAGCCTGAGTCCACCTGAAACAGCACAGGCGTCCATTTGTGGGAGAGGCAGGCGAGCGATGCACACTAACCCAAAAATACCCCACAACACTTTCCTCCAGCACTTAATCGAGAGAACTGTCTCAAAGTCAGTGTAAATGTCACATCTTCTGAACTCTGCTCAGAGAAACCAGCTCTGGCACTTTCGCCTTCAAAGAAAATTACACGACGCGGCCTCATTGGAATTCCAAAAGGAAAAATTGCATTTTCGGAATGATCATTATGCATAAGGAGCAGCTCCGTGTAAATGTGCGTACATATATAAATAAATATGAATCCGCGCACAAACAGCAAACCACCAAGAAGCCTTCTGAGGCACACACCCCAACACAGAAACCCGAATGACACAAATTAACAAAAAAACAAAAATATACACAGAAAGCTGAAATATGCATGTTAACGAATCAGTAAGCAGAAAGCTCACTGACACACGCACATACACTTACACACAAACACAGTAACTCAAAGGCAGACGGCATGAAGGTGCCCAGTTGCTGCAACACCAGTCCCTAACCCTGCCTGCCAGGTTGCCGGGCCGCGCTTACTCTCACTCTCTTCTCTGGGGGGACTGGGCTACACAGAGCCTTCAAAATGCATGACAGCCCCCCCCCCCACTGACCACACACTGCAGCAGGCAGCCGGGCTCGAATCAAGGCAGAGCTGCAGCAGAGGTGTCCCTGGGTATGACTGTCAGCTGCATACCTGTCAGCCAGATACCTGTCAGCTGCATACCTGTCAGCTGCATACCTGTCAGCCAGATACCTGTCAGCCAGATACCTGTCAGCCAGATACCTGTCAGCTGCATACCTGTCAGCCAGATACCTGTCAGCCAGATACCTGTCAGCTGCATACCTGTCAGCCAGATACCTGTCAGCTGCATACCTGTCAGCTGCATACCTGTCAGCTGCATACCTGTCAGCTGCATACCTGTCAGCTGCATACCTGTCAGCTGCATACCTGTCAGCCAGATACCTGTCAGCCGCGTACCTGTCAGCCGCATACCTGTCAGCCATGTGCCTGTCAGCTGCATACCTGTCAGCCGCGTACCTGTCAGCTGCATACCTGTCAGCCTTGTGCCTGTTAGCCATGTGCCTGTCAGCCATGTGCCTGTCGGCAATCTCCCTACATTGTGTGTCTGTCGCTGTGAGCTGGGGCACGCTGCGAGTGTAGCTTTCAGTATAGCTTGATTTGGTGGGTTATGGAGGATGAAGAGGGGCTGAGTGGTAAGAAGAGCGCCCCCTCTGGACTACAAAAACCGCATTGTCTACTGCGATAATTAGCTCCCTTCCCATGGGCATTGTTACAATTTCTCCTTTCTGTCTTCCCACTCTGCCTTCAGGAGGGGGGGGCACTGCGACTTCCCCGGGGTGCATGAGGCATGCAGAGGGCACGGCTCTGTCTTCTAAAGCTCGCCTCATCACGATGGGGTGTTGATCCGTGTCGAATCAGCGGGAGGAGAGGGAGCAGAGTGAGTGCGGGGAGAGGAGAGAGGGGAGCGGGTTCTGTACTCACAGACGGCACTGTGAGGGGATTAACCCGCACTGGCCCCCCAAGGATGAGCCTCCGCTAACAGGAAGGGAGCCGCACAGCCATGGACATACACAGCGGCACACGTAGAGACACCCGCACCCTGTCCCCAGCTGTCCCCGTTACAGGGACACCTTGTCAGGCAGGAACAATGACCTCACTCTCACTGCCTATTCGTGTCACTGTTTTTTTTCCATTTTATCTGAGACGACTCCTTGCATTCAGATACTGGTAGGTTTGAAAAGATGCTTACAACAGTTGTAAACTTGGTTTAGGGTGCAGTAAATCCTAGGAAGCCTCCATCCCCTATGCAGAGCTCACTGCAGATGGTTATGGTGTCTTAATGCAGCTTCATAAGCCCCCCTCCCCTACCCATGTCTCAGATTCGACCCATAATTAGCCACGTGCAGCCAGCTTATGAGACCACCTTCCATCCCTCTGAGCGAAGGCACCCCAATCCTCCCCAGCCAGCTGCGTACCCAAAGCGGGGCCCAACTTGTACTCACAAGCTCGTCCCCCTCCATCTCCATGGTAACAATAAGCCCAGGGGCCAAAGGTCTTCAAGATGAGCCTTGTTAGCCCTCCCCCAGGCTAATTCCCCCATCATCCCACCCCCAGCCTGGCTACGAGGGCAGAGCACACACCCTGCCGCAGCAGAGACCTGCCGGTCACATGAGAGGGAGGCTGGGGTCACATGACCGAGAGGGAGGCTGGGGTCACATGACCGAGAGGGAGGCTGGGGTCACATGACCGATGTATCGCCTTCTGAGATGTATCGTTGATAATCACAGTGGCTGTCCTGGGAGCTGTCTGCTTCCCGTGTGCACGTGATATGTCCCATTACGGAACAGGCCGGCTGAATATCACAAAGCCGCATTCAATGTGCCCCCCAGGGAGATGAGGACACCGAGAGGTAAAAAGACCCGGGGCGGCGCGAGCCATTCGCCGGGCGTGTCGTTCATTATTTATAGGGCTTTCTCATGCAAATGCACGTAAGTGTGCGCAAAAAGTGACTCTGCACCCCAGAGTATCAAACCCGAATGTCTGTCGCCGTGAGGCACCATCGCTTAGCAACACTCTCTAACAGGACCTGGAAATCTCTATAAAACACCATGCAGAGTTCGCTGCAGCTGAGCATCGCTGGCACAAAAGGCGAGGCAGACTTCAACTAGCCACGATTTTAGCAGCAATTGCGGGGGGGGGGTCAAACCTTTCAATCAATCATCCTCTTGTGCAAATAGTTTTCAATTTGTAATATAATGACTCCTGGAAGCCAGAAATAGGGTTGGCAAATATTTCCTGAAGGCAAGCAGTTACGCACACACAAGGACACACGCGCAGAGAGACGCACAGTGCACGCGAAGCCAAGAGGCAATCTGGAGAGCTGCGGAATAAGCACTCATTAAGATAAACGCCTTTCTGCTGTGATAATTCTTTGATTAAGGTGGCTAATTTTCCCGGCCTGGTGCTCAGACTCTGCGCCTCTTCTTGCAGAAAAGCCGTACGTTGATTTTTCTGTCACAGAGAGAAAATGCAGCCGCCTCTCCCTCCAGCGGGTTTTTTTTAGCATATTCTAGCGTACTCTTTGCTTGCTCCCACTCCTGCCGCTCGACTAATTGCTGTTAACATCTGCCTGCAGGCTTGCTCCTCGTTCCCGGAGCACCGGACGAGGCGGGGCGGCCCGTGTCTGCTCTGAAATGCCGGCCTTCCGGTTATTAGCCACCGCGATTGCTCCTGGATCCCCTTTCATGCCGCACACCTGCCCGACGTTCTGCTGATCCAAGGCGGCCGCCTGCTCCTGCTCCTGCTCCTGCTCAGTTCTCCTTCCAAGTCTGCTTTCCCGAAATGGAGGCGACAGCTGGCTGCGGGTAGCAGGCCACCAGGATTGAGAGGGACGCCGACTGTTGCTGGGAGTTCTGGAACTTTCTATAGATCCGTTAGAATCTGTATCCGGCAAGCGTGGCAGGAGAGCACACAGTAAGAACGGGAGCAGAACAGAGGGGATGCGCTAAAGGGCCTCGTTTCCAACCAGACTCTGCCACCTGAACCCGGGCAGGTCCTGCTGGTAATGGACCTTGCGTCCATGACTTTGCAGCATGAGAAATATGAAGGGGGAGGCAGCCCTATTCCAGCCGGATAGCTGCTGTCAGAGCACCGTCCACTGGTGCATGGGCCAGTGGAGCACGGGGCACTGGAGCAGGGGCTGCTGGAGCACGGGGCACTGGGTCGTGGGCCGCTGGAGCACGGGCCACTGGAGCGTGGGCCGCTGGAGCATGGGGCACTGGAGCTGGGGCCGCTGGAGCATGGGACACTGGAGCGTGGGCCGCTGGGGCATGGGGCGCTTGAGCAAGAGCTGCTATGCACTGGGTACTGGAGCGTGGGCCGCTGGAGCATGGGGCACTGGAGCGTGGGCTGCTGGAGCATGGGGCACTGGAGTACGGGGTACGGGGTACTGAAGTGTGGGTCGCTGGAGCATGGAGCACTGGAGCTGGGGCCGCTGGAGCATGGGGCACTGGAGCGTGGGCCGCTGGGGCATGGGGCACTGGAGCGTGGGCCGCTGGGGCATGGGGCACTAGAGCGTGGGCTGCTGGGGCATGGGGCGCTTGAGCAAGAGCTGCTATGCACTGGGTACTGGAGCGTGGGCCGCTGGAGCATGGGGCACTGGAGTACGGGGTACTGAAGTGTGGGTCGCTGGAGCATGGAGCACTGGAGCTGGGGCCGCTGGAGCATGGGGCACTGGAGTACGGGGTACTGAAGCGTCGGTCGCTGGAGCACAAGCTGTTTGTGTGCAGGCTGCTAGTGTGCGGGCCACTGGGGCATGGGGCGCTGGAGCAAGAGTCGCTATGCACTGGGCACTGGAGCGTGGGTCGCCGATGCATGGGCCGCTGGAACACGGGGCACTGGAGCATGGGCCACTGGAGCATGGGTCGCTGATGCATGGGCTGCTGGAACACAGGGCACTGGAGCGTAGGCCACTGGAGCAAGGGGCACTGGAGCACGGGGCAATGGAGCGCGGGGCGCTGAAGCGTGGGTCGCTGATGCATGGGTTTCTGGAGCGCAGGCCACTGCAACATGCATAATTAAGTCTTTATAATGCGGGCCAGGTCGCCATGACGGCAGCGGGATGAGACCCTGCCCAGCTTCTGTGCAAATTTCTGTGGTTATTTCTGGACGTCTATTGTATCCTCAGTCAGTGCAGCCAACGCTCATCACCATAAAGCTCTACACCATGGCTCATCCCATGCAGATGGTCCTGAATTGACCAGATCCACCTGATATCTGCCCTTCCCAAATATCTCTACCGCTCCGCTACACGGTTTGAGGGATGCCTGTCTCCTTGCAAAACACTGAACCCCACTGATCTTAAATAATTCCATGTTCATCAATAATGCAATTGCAATTAACTACGATCTGATTCACAACAACGCCTTCGAAATGTTGCAGAAAACAAACCCCAAAGCCACCATAAAAATATGGCATTAAAGGGGGAACCGGCAGCACTGGGACAGGGAAGTCACTCCCAGTGTATGGCTCATGTTTATTGTGCTGCTGGATGTCTGTGACATTAGCAACACTAACACATGACGCATGTTTATAGCTTAGCGACAGACGTCTGCTCCACCTCTGTAAGTCACTGCTGGATATCTACAGAGCTCAAAGACGAGGGGAAAGATGCAATCAGGAGGCAGAGCAACAACAACAACAAAAAAAACAAAGCAGAATGATAGGAGGGACTCTCTGACAGCTAGTGACACGACGCCATGCCTGTCTTCTCTCGCCGTCTCTCACCCTGCCATGACGATGAAGAAGTCCAGTCTGTTCCACGTGTCCCCCATGTAGCAGCGCTGGCCGAAGATCCCGAGGGCCACCATCTTTATCACCATCTCCAGTGCGAAGAAGATGTAGATGAAGGCGTCGAAAGCCTGCGGCCAGGGAGAAGGACAGGTCAGTGGCCTCTGGCCCATAAGGACGCAGAGACGTGCCTGTTTTATTAGCTGGCTGCCTAGTGCACACTCTGCACCGGCAAACCACGCCAGGCCTTGAGAACAAAGCAGTGTTCCCCATGGCTACAACTGCCTTGACAACGGGCTGGACAGTGAACCGACTGGTCTGAGGTCAAGGGGGAAAGATCCTGTCGAAACCGGGCTCCTGGAAACAAAGCATTTAGCTGAGCGTTTCCTGGTATCGTTAATGGCGGTGAATTAATCCCAGCTCTCTCTGTTCTGAAAAGCACCGGCATCACAGGCTGCAATGTGACGTCTGTCCTTCCTGACAGTGTCTTACATCTCTGGGCAAAAATCAAACCTGCTTTAAACAAAGACACTCTGTACATTAGGAGATGAATTAAGAGAAGCAGCTGGTCTGGTCAGTATTTTATTGCTGCTCTCTGAGTCCCCTGTGTGAGGGCTGCACTGGTCACCCAGCAAACCAGGATTTTTCCTGGGGGGGTGGAGGGCGGCAAAATTTATTGTGTCTGTCACTGCCCACACCCAGGTCAGCCAGATTTACTGGGGAGGAACACAAATTTCTAGTCCTGGTGTGGGACATTATCTCCACCACATCACCTTACGAAGCATTTGGGAGGTCTACAACATCTCATTACCCTGACCAGAATGAGCAGTTAGAAGATGGATGGATGGATGGATGGAGGTATGGAAGGATGTATGGATGAATGAATGGATGGAGATCTACAGTACAGAGTAAGACACCTCTCTGGTGGTCTTTCTGGTGTGGGGGGATGCTGCCTATGCCCAGAG